ATTGCATGGGTTTTGCAATGATTTTGTTTTCTAATTTCATTCAATATTTACTTGGAAAGCAATTAGGGAATGAATTCTGACCTAATTCTTAAGGCTATAAACACATATCTTCATATACAATTCAATGAGTAGGCTCTCTTGGGTAGATTGGACATATTTTACAAAGAAAAAGCTTAAATATTATGAATCTACATGTAAAATTCTTTTATTGAAAGAATGTGTGACTGGAAAAAAAATTTGAGAAAAATATTATTTTGAAAGAATATTTATGATTGTTTTATTTCTCGGAAATGTAAGGTATATGAATAAATAATAAATTGATGAATAGGATATCGTTCCCAAGAGGACCGTGTATTTAATCTAGTATCAAATAGTATTAAATATAATCGAATAATCAAAGTTGTTTGAAGAAATCATACTAATTAATTAATTAAATTTATTTTTTTATTTATTCTAGTAAGTAAATTATGGAGTTTTTGTAAATTAAGATGAAATGGTCGATAAGACCTCAATCTACCTTATTAATCCGTTTCAAAAATCAAAGTTGAATCTTCAATTTGATGATGAAATTGCCTTTAATTTTCTCACAAGATTAATGAGTTTGTTTCTTTTTAGTTGATGTAATTGATTAATAATGGTGCATGAGAGGTATCTTCAATGGTTGCCCAACGTTTTTTTATATATAAAGGGTGAAATTAAGCCAAGAATCACGTTCAAATTAGATTTCAAAAGAGTTTCAATCAAATATCGAAAATTTACATCTCTGAGTAGTTATCGGTATTTATATCATAACTTCATCTTTCGATATCCTATGAGGCGATTTAAATTGATTTGAAAATCTGACTTAATGGGCTACAATTTTAAAGAAATAGAATGTTTTTCAATTCAAATATTTATTATTCTAAAAATGGGTCTCAATATTCGACTAAGAATCTAGATTGGCGAAAATACATTGATTATATTTCAATGCTTCACTCATTTTTTACTTCTAATTCCATCGAATTGATCTCCCATGATATTCAATCAATGTTTTGCGGTCCAAATCAACTAATGTACATTTACAATTTAGTCCCTCAGCTTTTGATTTCTTCCTTTTTCGTCAATTTTCGTTCCTATCTTCTAATTACGTTTAATCATCGAGTTTCACCTAACAAACGAAATATACAAAAAATTAGGCCATAATTAATTAAAATAACTCCTAAATTTCTATATTTAAAAGCTTGGATAAGTGTGTAAAATGTACTTATCAAACATCAAATAGAGGCTTAGTGTATCCAGCACATTTAATTTTTTTTTTCGATTTAAGTTTTTATTGGTGATACGAGCGTACATTATTATTGACATGAAGGATTAGGGCATCGAGAGTACCTTGATCAGATGCGATGGATACAAATCGATGTATCACTAAGAAATGATCGTTTGAGGAATCAAGTCGATATGATTAGACGTGAGATTGAATTGAAGTTCCTTGAGCATGTGGCAAATGATTGTTCCATCCATCTATTGCGACCATGAGATGTGGTGAGAATAAGGTTCTAAAATGAGTGAAAATGTGTTCGATCAAGCATTACAAGCATATGCATATTTATGCAAAGCATGTGTAATTAACTAATTATGCGTATTTCATTTTTTTATATTATTTTAAATATTTTAAACTAATAAATAAAATAATGCATTCTTTGAATTTTATACGCATTCTTCAAATTTTTTTTTTTTTTTTAAATATTGTTCAAAACTATAGATGCTACAATTACTTATGCTTTATGCATATTCTACAAATTTTCAACAAAAACATATTGCTTTAAAATTATAAATACTACAATTACTTGGTAATCAATTCCTAAAATTAGAGTAGACATAAACACTGATTTTAAAAATCCTAAATTTTTTCCTTTTTTTTTTTTTTATCAAATTTCAATTCAATCTCTTCTTCTTCATCAAATACAAAATCATCTTCATCGGGCTCCCTTATTTCAACTCAATAATTTATACTATCTCTTGTAGTTGGTAAGATATTATTGTCAACATCCTCCTCATAGTCACAGCCATCAACAGTTCAAAATTGTACATTAGTAATACACTTGCCAATAAAACTAGATAAAGATCGAAAAATAGAAGGATTGGCATGGCATAGATAGTTTGAAACTCTATAAAAAAAATTGTTTTGATTTTTTATTTTTCTAAGCATTAAGATCCTAGAGATAGTTTTGTGTGTGTGTGTGAAAATGAGTGGACTTTGTTACGCTAATTTTGACATAATTTTTATTTTTTTACCACAAATGCGTGCAAATTTGAATGTTTAAGCATACATATACGATCAAAGAAATGGGTTGATCACATTATCATGCACATAACCTATATGTGATGATTTTGGAAAATGCCCCAAGCATTTGCAAATATATGCTAAGCATATGCATATATTTTAAAACTGTTTACAAGCTAAGCATTCCTAAGATGAAGTAAACAGTTTGCTCTCACTAATACCCTCAGTCCAGCACCGGGAAGCCACGCCCCACATGCATGTCCCACATTCATGTTCCACTTCCCCACCAAAGGTGAATACCGTCGTAGGACGGCTATGAAACCGCGTACATGGTTCAGCAAAGGTACAAGAGACAAACTCAAAAACTGTATTTAAGCCATTTTTATCTTATTCGAGCAATTAATTAATTGTCACGCCGGAGCGTACACGGATGAGATCCAAAATCAGGTATCTTCAATTGCATCCCGAATCAAAGCATCATAATTTGGCAAATAATTAAATGTCTTTAAATAGTTTTGTAGGATAGTGAGTCACATTTTCACATACCTGCAAGAATACATTAAAGTCACATTGTCAAGTGCGCAATGTGTTAAGGATATAATCCTCAACTTAAACTTCGAAGCTTTTGTTCAACAGTTGGCTAGATGATTAGCCAATACTACTTCACTTGGAGGAGAATTAACAATTTGAGGTAGAGGACGTTATTTTTCAATTCAAGAATACACAAAGGCACACTCTCCAAAAGTCAATAAGCAAGTATAATTTTGGGCGACGTATAATTATTTTAAAAAAGACCATTTTTCTTGATACTTTTTGAATTAGTGGTTTGATGTCTATAATTTGATCTCGATCTCGACTATTCAACTAATCAAAGCACCATAGATCTCTATTAAGAAATGCCATAAGTCGTGTTTTATAAATTTATTATTTTTTTTTACATTTAGAGCATGTTTGATATACAGTTTAATAATTTTGAACATACGACAAACAATGTCTTAACTTATTCTCTTCAACAATTCCATCAAGTACAATCCAATTCAACCCACCAAACATCTATTGGAATAAAGGAAACAAATTAACTTACTTTTATTTAGTATTTTGGCCTAAGTTCTTTCATTCTTCTTATTGAACTACCCATATCCATTTTATCCTTTAGAAACATATCACATTCCAAAATGTGAAGCAGGGGAGTCGATTGTGTGCTTTGAAGGAAACTTGTTCAATTTGAAGTAGGAATTTTGATAGATAAAAGGAGGAATTTACTTTAATAAAAGAGTAATTGTGAACCCTTTAGATCATTCGAAGAGTATTGGGTTAATTGAATTGAATAATACAAAAGCATTGGTATGCCCCACCATTTCATGCCATTATTATACTCAATATACCTTTTGGCATGAAGGTGTCCTGCTAGAGTATTCCGGGGGGATCTATGGTCAAAGGAAGTTGAGACATCAATTTATTTCCTAAAAATATGGTCCTCCATCATGTCCTTGTCTTTGTCTTGTACCACTATGGCCACCATCAACTTATCAAAGATCAACCAAGTATTCAAATAGTCAAATTAATTTTGGTCAACATTTGATAATAATGTGAAAAAAAGGAGCTAATAATATTTAGGGATAGTACTAATACTATTGGTCCTCAACTTAATGCCTGAGTAACAATATAGTCTTCAATCTTTCAAAGTCCCCGTTTGGCCCCCCTTTTTTAAGATTATAATTTTTGAAATAGTATTTTTCTTTTAAGAATGTGTGGTTAATTTTTTTTTTTTTTAAATTTACTTGTAATATTATTTTTTTAAAGAATGTGTGGTTGATAAGAAGAAAATAAAAAATTGATTATAATTTTAATAGGGATCAAACGAGCTTAAAATGAGCAAGGTGATTGTCAATCGTGTTTATAAATGATGCACAATCAATTTTCAATAATAGACAATGTTTAAATCTTCATTAACTTGAAAAATAAAAGCTAGCTTCATAAAATTTGGTACATCACGATCACACAATTTAAGGCCATATTTGAGCCACATTATTATTTTCATTCTCATTCTTTTATTCATTTTTAGCTACATATTTTTTAATAAAATATTATTTTCCATCATATCAATAACTTTTCCATCTTTTTCAACCACATATTCCCCATCACATCAACAGTAAAAATGCATTCTTTTTTCCAAAAATGTTCACCAAACAGGGGCTAAATGAGAATTGAATCATTTTAGTTCACTATAATGAAAGATAAAATACAATTTACTTCAAGACAATGGACTAATATAACCCATGAAAAATATAAGTGTATGACATACACATTATGAATGAATTTAAGCATGCCTTCTATCTACGATTACACACTAATAAAAACATTGCATTTTTAATAAAATAATAATCATTTTTTAATATTTGCACTTATTTCAAGAATTTTTATAGAAGACGACACAAAGTGGCACGTTCAGCTTGTGTTATGTAAAAGTCGATAGTTACTTGTCTACACATATAATTACTAAATGCAACTCTCTTTATACTGCCAATCCTATTCTACTAAAATCTCGCAATGCAATAGCATAAAATGAAGACCAGAGTTTTATTTCCACTAAAAAAATTCTATACAACAAAAAATTCTTACTTACAAGAATACATACAGCATTACAATTCCTTGTGTACTTATATCATGATACCTAGTTTCCTTTCTTTTTCTTTTATTTTCCCATTTTACCCTTACAAAAAAAACAGAGTTTCAATCAAGGACAAAATCGAAAAGGAACGACGTCGCTGCATGCAAAATCATCCGAATTTGCAGTTGTGTCCTCTGGCCAGGAGCCCCGGAGCAATTTGAGGAGCATTTGCGCTTTACGCTTTGCTCTATCTGTACAATCACTCTGAACAAGCAACAGCAGTTTAGTCAACAAGCCGGCGGCCAAGGCTTCACGCTGAGTCAGCTCGGAGGAGGAGCAGAGTGAGAGCAATGCTCCGGCGGCATACTCAGTTGCACGGTCTGAGATTTTTAGAATGATTTTCACCAAAATAGGTACTACTGTCAGCGAGTCGGCCGCGAACGCCGAGCAACCAGAAGGAATTCGACAGAGCAATTCAACTGAAGCAAGTGCTCTCTCGGAATCGCATTTTTCGAATTCCGGCAAGCGGTCAATCAGCACCTTCACAGCTCCCGCCGTCACCGCTTTGTGCCGGTGCTGCTTCGCCAAGCACAAGGCGAACAACGCCTTGATTCCAATTTTCAATGCCCTTGGATATGCTAATGGAAAGCTCAAAATTTCGACGATACCTTCGAATATTTTGTGAGCGTTACTGATTTGTGCTCGGAGATCCGGGGACCTTATCCCGGCGACTACAGTTTCAATCAAAGCGGCCGAGTTGACTCGGACGTCAATCGAAGAATGAAAAAGTAGATTCACAAGGTATCCAACTCGGTCAGAATCGGCTGCCACAAACATACACTCCGACTCCGAGAGCGAAAACAGGGACAAAATTGCAAGTGACTCATGACTCAACTCGGAAGAATTCGAATCCGAAACCAAATCGGAAAATGCAATAGCGAGAAGAATCTCACGTGCATTATTCGCTGCAATAACAGACCGATTCTTATCCGAGTCACGCGCGAGTCCTCTGAGTCTCCTCAAAGTCGACAATCTCCAACCGAGCGGCGCTGAACCAGACGACGCCTGATTCAACAAATTCCTCACAATTGTCGGATCCGCAGGCTGTTTCGGCGTAGGAATTCTCTCAACACCAAACGAACGGTTCGCAACGCACCAGGCCTGAATAAGCCGCCGGAGAGTATGATTCGGAGTGAGAGTAAAATCCGTCAACGGCGAGCGGGTCGCCGGGCACGTCGTATTTCCGGTAGCCACCCACGACTCAATACTAGTCCGATCATACGTCTGGCCCGTACAAACAGTCACCGGATCACACATCAGCTCAAGCGAGATTGGGCACCTAAAATGGTACGGGATCTGCACGCCCACATCCAATGGCTCCAAACTCCCTGGCATGTTATACTCTTCCCCAATTCCTCTATATATATGTGTGTGTGTGTGTTTGTCAGTGTGTGAATATGATCCTTAATCTGTTTGTATATAACGATATATGTATATATAAACAAGAAGCAGAGAAAGTCATTGGAGAGAGGGAATTGTTGAAACTGCAAAATTCTCTTTCTGTTTCCTGCGGGGGTGATGGGTTATATACGAAATGAAACAGACATACCCATGGAATTCTTGTGAACATGTACTATTACTCTGCAGCTATTCCGCACACGTGTGTTCTTTTACTTTGGTTAAGGATTTAACCATGGTTGGTCAAAGATGTATAAGGAGTAGAGAGGAACTGGGACCCACTTTCATGCTGAAATCTAACTCATGTATACATCAATGATAATTGAAATCGTCCTGTTCGCTTCCTAATTGATTTGAGATTAATTTTCTTAATTATTGACAACGATAGTTTTATTCTAAATGATCGGATATCTCAAATATGACTTATTTATTTTCATTTTTCATATATCTAAGTAATTGGATTATAATATAAGTATATAATCATTTACATAATACATTACATAATTGACATGTGACGTGCATTCATCAATAGTCTACAATTTTTGACTTTTCCACACTTCACATCCACAACCGAATTTCTTCCACATGAGTCTATGCAATCCATTATGTACATATAAATTTATCCTAATTATAATACCTGACAAATGCTAAATACCGATAGTGTTGAATAGTATTACTCATCCATTATTGACACAAATAGGTGAGTGTTGAGTATATTTAAGTGTAGATTTATGAAGGGAATTCAAAATAATGTTATCAACACCATTAATACTATAATACTAATTTAAATGACGTTACGTGATAAATTCAATAAACTGGGACACCTAGGTATTAAAAAAAAAAA